AATAATCAAAGGAAAAACAGACTGTATACATTCGACTAGAAGTCATTTCACTTGGTGACTTAGTGAGTCATGCTGGCCATCTGTGTATGAATGGGGACTCTGTTTTCAGTTGCACATTAAGAGGATCTAAAAAAAAAAAAAATGGAAACCTTTATGGGGAAGGAGAATGAAAATGAGAATATTAGCTTCTAAAATATAGGGGGGGGGTAATAACAGTAGCCAATTTGTTCATCTCATCTGTTTATTTTCATGGAGGATGTTACAAAGGCGCCCTATTATTAACTGCAACCAGACACATCAGAAATGGAACCGTGATTGCTCGAGAGGTGTGCATTAGAGGTTCTTTTGAAAATGAAGCACAGCCAGCTCTCTGAGTAGCAGGAGTCCTCAAGGCTCACACACAATGACAGATGCTTTGTTGTATTAGGGACAGAGTGAGATAGGGACATGAGGTCTAGCTTTAATAGTCCAAGGACAGATTTTTTTTTTTTAAAAAAAAATCACTCAAGAATCATGCTGGCCAGCCCCATTAAGCATGGGATGATTCCATGTAAGTGTGATGTACTAAAAATGAGCTCCAAAAAAGCTGTCTTCAAAGCCAGAGAAGGAAGAAAAAGTCTTCAAGTTTCTGCAAGTGTCATTAATCTGTCTGGATATAACCTAAACTTCTACTCTAGGATACATTAGAAAACATTTGTTCTTCATGCCTTTAAATGATCTTCCCTATAAAGCTCAGATTTAAAAGCTGCCTGATTATAATTTTGACTTCTGTCAGCGATGTGCTACATTAGATCTCAACAAGATCATTGGTAGCATGTTTGCCATACAAGATCTACAAACATGCAGCCTTTTCATTAATAATTTCCCGAAAACAAGCGGCTTAGGTGACTTTACCTAGAATCAAGCCATCAAACCCTGTCCATTGACATTTGTTTTATAACCTTTCATATTGTCTTAAAAGGAAACATGACTCCCCAAAAGTGCAACTATACTAGTTTCAGGTGATGTGTCATTTTGGAAAGTTCTGACATGCTACATGAAGTTTTCTTTCTTTCTAAAGTGTCATATCTGTCAATCATGTCATTTAGAATTAGCATAATGCTGTCAATGGAAGAACACAGAGCAGTGGTGGTGATACTTTTTTATGTTCAAACACAAGAGAGATTGTATTAGAATTCTCCCTGGGGGAGTAATTTTCCTCATTTAACAATCATTTTAGCCATGTAGGTGGATATGACAACACATCAGATAATGAATATGTTCCCCAAATTACTCACTTTTCATACCTTTCAAAGATCCCTTTAGTAAGAGATTCTACTGAATACACTTCGTCAGTAGTCCTATTCCAATTTCTGCTTATATCAAATGTACTATCATACTTTTTAATTTTAAAATTCTCTTTTAAAATTCTTTAATAATTTTGTTTTTCCCTATTGCATAAGCACATGCAGGACTCAGCATTTCATGTTAAAATTAAACACAGCAAATAGGGTAGTCTATATTGGGGAAAGAGTTCTAATTACTCGACAGTGAAATTTCTCTAAGAGAAGGTTCTAGCTTTCATAATATAGTTTGACTTCTCAAAATGAAATATCAAATATATATATAAAATTAACTAACATGCAAGGATAATCCATAAGGCCATCCTCATAATTTTCTTTTACATAATAATCACATATATAACTAAGCATATAAATGTATTGCTACATAAAGAATGTAAAGAAACATAGTTTAGGATGCCCAAGTCCGTGACAAAAGAAATGTATACATTTGGTACAGATGTTATGTTTTCCAAACATTTACAGTCTATAGCTAGTTGGATCTGTGCTTGTAGAGCTCATAGATGCTACTAAGGTCCTGGCTGCATTCAAAAATGAAATGGTGACTTATGTTTTTTATACTTTTCAATTTTTAGAATTTTCTTCACTAAGTTTAAAGTTATTACAGATTGTGTGTGTGTGTGTGTGTGTGTGTGTGTGTGTGTGTGTGTGTGTGTGTGTGTATGTGCATGCATTTGTAAAATTTATTTTACTATTTTCCTTTTGGTCAAATACAAATAAAATTTACCATTTTAATAGTTTTTGTTTTATCTTTTAATGATTTTAAGAGCATATAATTCAGTGACAGTAAATGTATTTCTCCTCTCATACAACCACCACTAATTCTAGAATCTCTTTACTATGGCAAATGGAAATGCTATACCCACTATGCAGTCACTTCCTATTCACCCCTTTTCCAAGCTCTGACAACCATTAATCCCTTAGTCTTCCGACAGGTTTGCCTATTCTGGACATTTCATACAGTGGGTGGCCTTTCCTGTCTGGCTTCTTTCATTTAGCATGATGTTTCTTCAGTTCATCCATGCTATATCATGGAGTATGGCTGATATGGATATACTATTGATAATAAACACTTGGGTTTTCGCTTTGTGGTTATTGTGAAGAGTACTGCTATGAGCATTCAAGTTTTGTTTCAATATCTTTCTTAAATTAATTTGTGCATTTATCTAGAAATGGAACTGTATCAGCCTATAATTAAAAATATTTTTACCTCCATTTTGACGCCCTGTTTAAAGCAACAATGGTTTTCATAATTAGCAAATGCAACCTTTAGACTATCTTTCTCAAAAGAACATTATATTTTTAACCACAGAGCATACTTAAAACTAACTGACATTCTTAGTTAAAAATGCGATTGTTACTCTTTGAGCATGTATTTCTTGTAAGTTTCAATAGTCTTAATTGTAACAGTGATCAAATAACAGGAAGAGACAGTCTTTCCCTCCTAGCACAGCCATTGTAGCAGTGTGTAATTCACTTTTGAATGCTGATATACCAACAGTACAAACCCCTGGGTGTTGTTTTAATTCAACAAGAAAATGTTACATAATAAGACAAGTATTTACACTCCCAAACACCAAGTCAAAAGAATATAGAATCTTGTAGAAATTCAAGCTGGCAGATAGTGACCACAAAAGACAAATAGCACTTGACAGGTTACATAGTGCTAGCATTTCAAGTACTGTACTTCCCATCCACCTAGCAGAAAACAGATATATCTTATGAACATCAAAGCCAAATAGCAAGGTGAATTTTTGCTATTGAGAGCTCTTGATGGGAACTAAAGGGGAAGTTATCGACTCTGCTTATCTAGACCGATTATCTGTTGCTGGGGTCTCAAATTTTTCTTTAACATGAAACATACATACATTTACTCAATATGTAAACATGAATAAAATATATTCCTGTATTTACACACGCTCAAACTTCATTTTCAACTCAGTGGCTCCAAGAAATGGTCAAAGGGTTTCTGCAGCTTGGTCATCCCCTTGATCTGAGGCCTTCCCCCATTCTCACTCCCCAGGCCACCCCTATACACATTACATTATCCAATCTACCAAGCAAAAATTAAAAACTCTGGCCAGAGAAAAGAAAGCAACAGTCCTAAAACAGTGAAAATAACTTTCTGAACTATAAATGTTCATCAGCAGGAACATGAACTGGAGCCACTAAGGAAAATCTACGGGGAGATAGTTCCAGAACATTGGTAAATTTCTCTTAAAGAATACAAACAGGCCTGGTGCTATGGCGCACACAGGCAATCGTGCTACTCAGGGAGCAGGGGGTAAGAGAGAGGATCCTGAGTCGAAGGACAGCCTGGGTGACATGGTGGCAAACAAACAAAGGTTGACAGAGGAAAAGAAGAAAAGGAGGGGAGGAGGAAGGGAGTGGGCATCAAATAGGAATGTCAAACTTAACAAAAAATAAAGAAGGGCATTTTACTTCTGTAAAGGGGTTTTGTCATTTTTCAAATTTGTAGCGGTATTACTATATTATTTCATTTCTCCCTTTATATAGGGTGTAAGATACTTTCATGTTCTGATAGTGACACAAAAAGCCTACCACAAAATGATGAAGGGACGCTTTCATCATCTAGGCAAAGGTTATACAATAGCTCTGGCGTCACAAAAATAATTCATATCAGAGATCTTCTGAATATTATTCTGTTCACAAAGTAGTGAACTGTGGTGTAGGAAACCATCTGTAGTCTCACGAGAAACCACAGAAAATCCAAAATTAAAATTCAAGTCCAGTTATCTATGAGGACAATGATCTGGTTACAAGGCAGTCTCAGTAACAATAGGAATGATTCTTCGAAAACAACTGTAAGGATACAGTAATTCTGTTTATAAGTGGTGTGCTGAGAGGATGGCATTTATCAACAAATTGCCTTTGTTTCGTTCTTCAACCACTACTTTTTTTAAATCCTGCAAGTAATTTTCTCTCTGCATCATGACAGAGGCCTTATCTTGGCATTTCCTGCCTGGGAACACAGTGGTACTCAGGAATACAAGCATGACCTCCACTCAACTATTTCAACTGCCAAAGTAAATCACCATGAGAACTTTTAAATCCCACACAGTAAAGAAGACAAATACAATTAATGTAGGTGTCTCTGGCAATGACAAGACACAGACATGCTCCAGATAGAACAGTATTTTTGGTGTAATTTCAAGTGTGGGCATTAACGTAGCCAAGGATGAACTCACACTATTTAATTCTACTTTACTAATACTCTGCCGCTATCACAGACTACTTTTCCCCAAGTGGTAAATTTTGCTAACTCTTACTGCTTCTTTCTGACATGTGTGCTCTGACTGCCTGATCATTCAGTGGTAGTTACAGCACACTGCACTGGGATGGAAATATGGGGAGGAATAGATCCCAGCCCATCTTTCTTACTACTTATTAACAGCCTTTACTGAGTACTTAGGTGAGGGGGTAGGATAAAAGTGAATACCACATTCAGTTTGGGGAGTTGAACACCACAGGGTATTTGGCCATTAAAAAAACAAAAAAAATCCTTCATTCCTAGCTCATTGTTCAATGGGGAGATTTACTTCAGTGTTAGAATGGACAGGGAGGGAGCCTTATATTCTGGGCCGAGTTGGTAACATCTACTCAGGAGGTACCTTCATGTAAAGTATCTTAGAATCTTACCTCCCAGTCCAAATAGTCACAGACATCCTCAAAGTTAGTGAGCAGAGACACCGAGCAGAAAAGCCGTGGCAGCTCATCCCTTGTCATTGGTGGAAAACGGCTGTCTTTAAGGGCACTGTTGAAGACAGAGCAGAGATTAAAGCCATCACTGCATATGAAGGTTCCTAGGTTCAAATATTGACAATCATTTGAAACAGGGAAATAATTAAGAGTAAGAAATGTATCAAAGGTGCAAGTGATCATCCTAGGCATTTTTTTTTTTTTAAAGAAACCTAGAGATTTTTCACTGCATAGATTCTATGACTACTTCAACTGTAAAGAGTGAGTGCTCAATTCACTCTCTAAGCGATTTTTACGTCTCTCTGTGCTATTTGTAAAAGCAGAACATGCTTCATTTTACATTTGAGGGGAATAAAACTAGAGTACTGGGAGTATGCTGCACAGCCTCTGAATCAACGACTAGAAGAGAAAATGTATATATGATCACATGTAACAGTCTTTTGATATATAAAACCACATTGTAAAACATTTTTAAAAAAGTTAATACAAGTTGCAACAGTTAGCACAGAATATTAAATAACTCAAAAAGAAATTTTTTCATCAAGGAAATAAAATCAAAGAAAATGAAAACAATCACTCAAATCACAGACTAAAAACACAAGGATTTCATGTGCTCAATAAAGGACAACTGAAGACAGGACTCAAAAACCATGGAACTACAAGAAAAGGCTCATCTGTATGGCAGAGGTCTGATTAGGAGATCGTGAGGTTATTAATCCCATCAGTAGAGTTCTGAGTTTCTGCATACATCAACTCTGATTAGGCCCTTTAATCAAATGGCACTGTGCCAAACTCCAGAGACCCTTGTAAAGGCTAAAAATGGTCTTTTCCAAGAGTAGAAGAGATAAATCAGTGGTGGCCTTCCCCACCACCACCTTACTTTCTCTCTGCCACACACACACACACATGCACACGCACACGCACACACACACGCACACCCCACGTTGCCTGTACTTTTTAAAGAAACCATTTCCTGCTCAAGCAAAACACACCTCTGATTATCTACCATACAAATGCAACTATTGACATAACATCCATAATCACACAGCCTATATAGCAGTCAGACTTAGAAAACATTTTCACTGTTTCGTTCTCACAGATTACAAACTGAGAAACATATTAAAGTCCCCTGGCCTTTGGAAATAATTTAGTTCCCTTGTAAGTGACTCATTGCCGAATCCACTCGTCTTCCACTTTTTGTATTTTTGAAACAGGCTCTTGTTATGCACTTTTTATTTTCTTTTACTTCGCCCTCCTTTCTTGACATTCTGAAACTCACTGCATTCGTATTTTGAGTGCATTCTGTTGCTACTTCCATACCACTGTACAAAAGAAAGAACAGGAAGATGCTCTAAGGAAGATGTAGAGAGGTTATATATTTATAAATATAAATGTTCCAGCCATTCTCGAGGCCACAATCCATCACAAAAATCAGGAAATTGCAAACTCATACTCTGAAAGTAGCATTTCACTATTTTACAATGTAACAACATAAATTTCCCATGGTTTGGCTCCCTTTATTTTCCTCCTGACAAATAAAATTCTTAAAAATACTCTCAAGCTCTCAACCAAAGGCAAGTTGAAGACACGCTTATATTTAGCCACGCCTTTTTACACACAAATACTGGAACAAAATGCTAACATATCATGGAGAGGTATCCCTGGAATAATTAAAGGCCAATCACATTTTTCAGTTTTCTTGTTAAAAAGAACAAGACAAGAGGGGAGAAAAACCTCTTTATATATTAAAATAATGTCAATACAACTTTTGGAGTTAGCGGAGTTTATTGTGGTAAAATATACATAAAACTTAACATTTTATGTCTATATTTTGGTAGAACAAGTATATATTCACAACCATTATGATCATCTATCCCCCCAGAAATTCATGGTTTCCCCCAAGTGAAACTCTATATCCATTAAACACTAATTTCCCATTCCTCTTTCTTCCAGTTCCTGGCATAAAATGTAAGTTAAGTATACTTTTATAATTTCCAATAGTTGTGCTAGAATAAACTTACTTTTGTTTCTACTTTAGTAGTCCACTAAATTCACCCTTTTAAAGTACACAATTTGATGAGTTTTAGTATAAAGCTATATAAAGTATAAAGAGACATAAAGCTATTGGTATTACTCACTACTCAAGTGTTCCATAACTTCATAAAGGAATTCTGAATTTTCAGTAATGAACCCAAGTTTTCTCTATTCCCAGTTTCCTGGTAATTATAAATCTACCTTTTGCTTTCATGGATTTGCCTATTCTGGCCATTTTGTGCATGTAGAATTAGACTTGTAAAATTGATATTTAAAAAGTCAAAATATTGCCTTTTGTGTTTGGCTTCTTTTACTTAGTATAATGTTTTGAGATAGTTTAGCAGCACTATCCTTCCTATTATCTAATAATAATTTGCTTTTATTCATGGATGGATGGGCATTTAAACGGTTTTCCTCTTTGAGACTATTATGAATTATGCAACTGTGAATATCTACATAAGTTCTAATAAGAGCATACGTTTTTTTCATTTCTTTGAGTAAATACCTACAAATTGAATTACTGGTCATTAAGGTAATTCTGTTGAGCTGAAGAGATGGCTCAGCAGTTAAGAGCACTGGGTACTCTTCCTACAGGACAAAGAGTTCGATTCCCAGCACCTATCTGACAGCTCACACCTACATGTATCTCCAGTTTCCCTCCAGTTCCAGGGGATCCAATGCCCTCTCCTGCACTCTATAGGACATAAGGCACACATGTGGTGCACAGACATACATGCAAGGAAAACACACACATCAAATAAGCAAACATTTAAAATAAAACAGGTATTTCTCTCTTAAACTTTGTAGGGAACTAGGAGTTCCCACAAAAGAAAAAAAAAAAAAAAACCAGGCTGAATAATTGTACATCCCTACCTGCAATGTATTAAGGGTCCACCACTTCTTTATATCCTCAGCAATGCTTGTTATCATCTGTTGTGTTTTTTGTTTGGTTTGTTTGTGTTGTTATTTTGTATAATTCTGGGCCTGTTTTGAGGATGATCCATTTTACATCCTGCTTTACCTTTTCACTTAAATAATACATGTGATGAAGTCATCATACAGTTAATTTCTCAATACTTTGTGGTTCGTTACATTGTTTGGTTATTTCCTAAACTGACCAATAAAAGTTTAATTCAGGCCCACTAAAATTCAATCTATTTCAAATGGAGGACGATTTCAAGTACCTAAAATGGAACAAGTTTTTCTTATGCTGTGGAGCCTTGTTGTTCAGTCACTCTAGGACTTAGGAAAGAAGAAAAAGCATTTATAACAATGAATGAGGCACGAACTGATAGAAAATGACAGTGGTGTGCCTCACTATACTAAGATTCAAACACAATGCCTCAAAGGTTCGTAATAATAAAGGTACATTAGTCATGATGGAAATTGTCTGATTCTATCAAAAAACTCAAGCAAGAATTTGGTAATTGCATTTTCTCCCATCGCCAAGTAACTTTTTATTAAACTTGTAAGCAGCGAAACATCAATGGCTCTCAATGCAAATTCCACTAGCAATGAAAGCCTACCAAGGATTTAAGGGATCCTAAAGAGATAAAAATTCAGCTGGAGATGTACCTCCAAGCTGCCAAGGCAGTGTGAATGGCTGATACACAAGAGAATTCAGCTTATCTCAACCAAACTCTTTTTAGACTACACCATACACACTGTTAAACCTAAGGCTTTGGATAGGATGCTGCATTTTGAAGCTGGGCAATGACATATGAGGTGACCCAGCGAAGCCAGATTTTTAGGCTTAAGACCCAAATTAATTTTCACGCATTAGCCTTCACCTTTTAATAGGTTATATTTTGAAGTTTGAAAATGAAATACTTGTCTTACTTAACATTTTGTTCTCAAATCTGTAATGTCTGTCTAAAAGCAGATACATAATCATTCAGTAGCATCCATTAGTAGCCAAAGGGAATGTATTACTAGACTTCCTGGCTATTGGAAATCTGCAAGAATAGATTAGTAATATTGTCCACTAAAAATATATTTTATACCCAACAAGTGTCTCCCAATTTAAATTCTAGGGAGTTACTGACAGGAGGCTGTTGCAGTAAACTGATCACGAAATTTTTCTTTGAAATGACAGGAAGCCATTTTCAAATGTTTAAATAGTACTAGGGAGAAAACCAAAACGTTTATGCACAAAATCAGCTGGCTGCCCCATCAACCATATGATGGACAGGAACAGTTTAAACAACAATTTAGTTCACATACCAAATTCAAATGTATTCAGTTCAGTCTGGCACCTTCCCAAGTAGACATTTCACCTAATTGAGAAGCACCATTAACATCGGTCAAAGTTAATATCTAATGTTAAATAGCACTTCAATGAATATATTCAGAAAATAAGACTATCAAGGAATCAAGGTTTGTGAGAGTATCTGCTAAAAGGAAATAAAACAGCTGAAAAGAAGCATAACATTAGACACTGCAAGGCCCGTTCTAAACAATATTATTACATGCAACAGAAATGACTGAAGTGCACCTGTCGAGCCATTCATTCGCTTTCTGAAACAGTCCGTTAATCAGTTAAGTAGCAGGAAGTTACCAAAGTGGCAGGGCTTCCTATTACAGACAGTCATTTTACAGCACAAGTAATTAAATCCACAATTAGGCACTGCTTTTGGAATAGATAAAGAGAAGTGAATGAAGTGTGCATGATTTTTTTTTTTTTTAAATCTTTCTGAGTTTAGGCCATTAGGAAATTCCTTCTTCTGCCATTCCAGGGCATTAGGACTCCAGGGACGGACGGAATGCACACGTGAAACAATTGTGCCATACAAATTTAGAAAACTAGAATCTTAAGCCCATATCTAAAAATGTATACATGGTTTCTCTACCTCATCGAGTAGCATATTTTAGCTCTTTACAAACTCCAGACAACAATGGGACACAATCCAAAATTCAAATATGTAACTGTTGTTCACACTTACACATACTATTAGCAGGGGAGAAGAAAAAGACCCTGATTTTGGTAAGGGTTGAAGGGCTGTGAAATGAAATTTCCAATTC